CAAATTATAGTCGAATTGACAAATCATCTAAATTCAGTTTATCCGTCACTTGCAATGAATCGGGACGATTCAATTTAGAAGGGGGAGAGTTATCCAGCTCATGATCCCAGCCTCTTTACCCAATTTATAAACAAACTCTTCATATACAATTCTTAGATGAGAACGCCTTCCAGCTCGAGCGCCCAGCCGCCTTACCCAAGTCGTAAACAATTTCTTATAAACAATTCTTAGCTGGGATCCCCTTACTCAGCGTTCCCACAGAATCTCAATTAGCTCCCCCACTTCAATCGAAGTTCATTATTAAGATTCAATTGCGCCGCAGTCCTCCTAACATAAACTAAGCTGGGTCCAGCTAATGTAAACACAAGCATCCGGTCAACACCCGGCGAGCCCCAAAACTGCAGCGTAATCCGTTTGGCAATTGAGCAGAGAATTAGATCATCCGATTTCCCGACTCTCTTGAGTCCAACCCTTGTCCAACTCTTAATGAGTTCCCCAATTCTCTTAAACCGAGGTTTGATTATCAGATAAGCGGCCCTTGGCCAGGCATTCCGTTTTTGCATCCGAGAAGATCGGTTGTATAAGAAGTTAATTGTGAACCGCCAAGAACAAAAGTCGATACTAAGGAAATGTTGTGAAGTTTAAACTTAGTGAATAAAAAATAAAAATAAATTTTTTTAAATAATTCACAAGTGAAGTTATTAATTTGCACGCGTTACTGCATATACATGTAGAGCCATATGTGGCGTCCTCAGTTTTTTGCATAGAATAGTATATGTGATTCTCACCTATAGTCAAATTCTATTTTTTATGAACGAAAACTTTATATTCTCTTACAAAAAAATACTTTTCAGTGATAAAACTGATTATTAGTGTAGTAATTTTAATTTTAATTTCACCACAACTCACTTTCGTTCGTCTGCTTCAGACGCGAGCACAAAACTGATTGAAACTTGAGATAAGGCAACACAAAGAAGTTCTGAGTAACAGAAAATAGTTGAAAGAGAGTAAGTGATAACAAACGGTTTAGTATATGTACCGTTTTATTGCAAAAAAATTATTGAAATTGAGAAGCCATATATGGCTTTGTATGCGGTACATACATAGTAAAAACAAAACAGAAATAAAATAAAATAAAACCAAAAAAAAAACATAATTATAATGTAATAATAATAATGTAATTTTACTACGAACATCTGATGTTAGTTATTAATAATTAATTATGAAACTGAAAAACATTGTTCATAACTTTGAAATGATTCAGTGCTTAAAAAGCGCTAAATGGTTTTAGAGGGTATGAATGCGCTGTCTCACAAGATTGAGTTTCGAATTTTCAATGTGCGCGGTCATCGAAAAACCACGAACTTCGCCTATCATTTTGCTTCAATGGCGGTTTACCCTGTATTAGAAAAACTATATTTTTAAAATCAATGGCGCTGTTTTCTATCGAACAAAAATAACTTTTGCAATCTAAAACTATTTTTCAACACTAAGAATAAAATTTCACTGAATTTTAGAAAATTTACGTACCTTTGGTGCCGTAGGCTGCTAGCCCTGAGTTTAAAAAAAAACATGTCTACAAAGTCTGTTCAAAATGTTGTTCTCTTGGGTTCTAGGTTTAATTTTTTTTTTATAACCTAGCTCTTTTCTAGTTATATCCCCTATTTGTCCATTTATTTTTGTTTGTGAATATTTATTGATTAATTTAATAATACAATATATATTTTACGTTGGTAAAATAGTATTAGAACAGTGATTAAAGTTTAAAATCAGATTACTTAACTCAAAATTTGCATCAAAATTAAAACATTTAAGAGTTAAGAAAGAAAAAAAGATAGACGACTTTTTTAGTTTTAGAAAAATGTAGTCCCTCTTTTTTAAAAGCTAAGACAATTTTCACCCTTAAATAAAAAACGGCAAAATAGATGAGGATATCTTATATAAGGGAAAAAAACGTTTTCTTTATTAAGAAAAAAATGTCTAAAAATTGTCATTCTATGGTGAATTTCTCTGCAGTTCAGTAAATTTAGCTTCTATTAAAATTTTTTTTTATCCAGAAATTTTAATTTTTTTTGTAATTTGTTTTATATCTAAGAAAAATAATTTTTTAAGTGTACATATTTGGTAACTAAAGTCAGAGAAAACGCTATGACCCCGACCTTTACATACCCGTTACTCAGTTAAAGGGAGTGTGACAGGGATGAAGATATGCTTGCTTGTGTCTAGCGCAGCCCAGCCTATAACGCCAACTAGCCCATAGCGCCCCTAGCGGCTTGGTGGCGTATAAGTAAAAAAGCTGATTTGCTGCATTTGGTGTGGTGAAATTGCAAAATATGTATTATTATTTGGCTGTAACTTTTGTATGAATGAATTGATGGGTAAAATTGACAAAAAAAGTAAAGCGTTTCCCAACCATTGATTTGGCAATTTCACCCATCAAATATTTCCTCTTACGTAATACGTAAACGTCAGTTTTAATATATAAAATAGTTGTGTTGGTGGTATGGACTCAACCCATGGGTTTTAGTTAAATAACTATTTTTATAGTTATCGAGCCCATTAAATATATGTAAGTTAATTTTTTAATAGTAAATATATACCTATAAAGTTGATCAAATTATTAATAATATTTATAAATACGTCACTGTAGGTAATTTAATAGCAAAATAAATTAAGTAATTTCAAATTGCACTTTCAAATGTGTACAGTGACTTTCAGCAAGTGTGGAAGTATGTTTAAGACTTTAGAGAATATATGTTTTAGGTAAAGTGCTTAGTTTTCAAAGATCTGCTTGGGAGTCTAGGTGTACGAGACGCTAGACCAGCTTGGGAATTATAGTTATAATTATAAAGTAAAATAAGATTATTGTTGCCTACTTTAGTGAAAAAGATTATATGCTAGGATAACCATTTTTGGTAGTTAGTCAACTACTTACTATAGCAAAACACACACATCATGTTAACGCAACTATATACTGTAAAATTATAAACAAAATATAAATAAATAAATATAAATAATAGTATAGTAACATTTTTTTCGGATCGGACAGCTATATCTTATAGCTCTCATAGGAATAATCGGAAAAAAAAATTTAAAAAAAATTATATCTTTGTCGTCTTTTAACATATAAACTCCTACGCTTGGAATAACATTTTTATAATTAGTTCTGAATTTCGAATTTAATTTTATCAAAATCGGACGACTATATCATATAGCTGCCATTGGAACGATCGGAAAATTGTTGGGAAAATAATACGAAACAAATTATAGCTTCGGTGTTTCTTGACATATTATCTTATACTATTGGAAATATCATTTTTTGTATTTTTAAATTTAATAATTATAACTGCAAGGGTAAAAAAAATTCGGCTTCAACTTCTTTTCTAGTCACTTACCTATCTGCATTGGTAAATTTTACTGACCACCTTTGTTTTTTGTGTAATGGTAATGGTAATGATAGTAAAACTTCTAAAATAAATTGGTTTTGTATTCCGCATATGATAGATAAGAGCTATCAAAGTAATGTTGGTCATGTATGGGTTTACTGTATGGTATGGAATTATTACAGAAACATGTTCGTACCATGATACTAGATGTATGGCTGGAATTCAAATTTCTAAACATTTTCAAAGAATCACAAAAAATATAAGCAAAACGTTTTTTGACAAATTCATGGGTTGAGAAAAAACTTGTATCATTCAAACGGAATGCAAATGACCTTTCCATTGATGCCAAGAGGTACTTGAAGTAAGCTCAAATTATGAGTATATTTAACTTTTGACACGTGTAAATACTTTTGACCACCCCTGTATAATTATCAAGTTACTGTCAAAACGAACCAAACAAGCCACATTTGGACAAAATCCATGGTAAAATATTTTTCATTTTGTATATAATAGCTTTGCATTGTTAGGCCGGAAATATAATTGCGTCTAATATTAGAATTTCAACCTAAGGAGGTACATGTTATTCATTAACGTCATTAAAATCGACTATTGATAATAACCGGTAGTCGATAAAAAATTTTTAAACAAATAAACATATATAAATTAAATTAATCAATAGCATGATAATTATACATATAACAAAAATGGTGTATAAAGTGAGTAATTGTAATTATTAAATGTTTATTTGTTTTTCTTATTTGTAGCGTATTTATTTATTAATAATAATAATAAATTGGTAAAGCGAAAACCGATTAATTATAAACATAGAAATACCAACCAAATTTTCCTTAAAAGAAAGTAGTATTTAAGCGAGTATCTGTAATTATAACAAGTTTATTTGTAGACTATTCATTTATTCGGAAAAATTAATAATAAAAAATAATAGTTAAGCGCGACCCGATATAATTAACAACATAGTTTTACCAACAACATTTCCCTTAAAAAATCTTTAAAAAAACCTATCCATAAACAATTCTTTTATTTCTCTCTTTTGTATTCTAGGGGTCTAACTTTACCAAGAACCACCTTTATCCATCTTGAATCAAGCCAAACTCTGAAATGTTTATACTTTACTTTAAACATATATTCTGTAAAGTCCTTAACATACTATAAGACTAGCTGAAAGTCAAGTACCGTCCACACCTCTAAATGCTGTATAATGAACTCACTTTTGAAAAGTGTAATTTGAAAATTACTGTTTTTACTGTGCCAATACCATGCTACAGTGAAGTGTCTATGAATTCAATTAATAGTTTTACCAATTTTATATATATATATATATATATACTATAAAGTTAAAAGATACCTTTTTTATATTTTACTTATAATATAATATTTTACACTGACATTTATATATATAAATATATATTATATCCAACCATCCAACCATGACTCTAAAAATAAATACTTAATTACAATTTTGGAGTTGGTCCAATTTAAATATAGTATTGGTCAACTGGACCAACAGTTTTTTTTGTGTAAATATAAAAGTTTTTTTAAGCGTACTTCGCTAGATGTTTTCATATTTTCATAACGTATTTTCATTTCCGGCAGATTCAAAAGCTCGATCAGGCCTGGCACATTCTAAGGCAGCAGTATACGGAGAGCGCATTTATCTTCGAGGCCAAGTTACGCCCTACGCTAAGCATCATGAACGAGGCCTCTAATCCACAGGCCCCAAACACAACCGTTCCTCACGTTCTTCTTTACGCATTATTAGTCGATCGGCCCGTCATGGACATCATAAACCACTCTAACATCGATGATCGCCCTGCTCTATACCACACCTGTATAGCTCCTTGGGAATCAAAGGCGGACGACTTCGGCATGGCCATTAATTTCCAGCACCTAGATGCGTCGCGGGGCTTTCTAAAGAACTTGGGTTTGTATCGTAAGAATGCTAAAATTATTCTTGAGGACGCCATACCTAGGTTGGATGAGCTTCTATCAGATGCTTTTCGGTAATATTAAGAAACCCATTTTCTTGTAGCCATCTAACACGTTTTGGTTTTGTAGAACCGAGTTCCATGTGAAATTTCTATGGGGCAGTTCTGGAGCAAATGCAAAGGCAGAAGATCGTCACAGCAAGCTGGAAAAGGTGCTAACCCTGATGGCCGACAAGTTTTGCACGTTGGCCGAAAAGTAATCTGAAAAATAATATGGACTGTAGTTTCTTCATATCAAATTAACTTAATGTAATTAATGGAACGTCGCACATTTTGTATGCCTCGTATTTATCTTACTATGTACAATATCGCTAGATCCTAAGAAAATTAGAGTATATACACGTATATAATTTCAGCAAGAACACAAGTCCACTCTATGTTACAGTTAAAATATTATTTCATTAAAGTTAAGTCAAATTTTGAATTGTATGCGTAAACAATCTGAAGGGGGAATCAAAACATAACCCTACTAGTTATCATTCTTGGGCAACTTCTGAAGAGCACTCACTCTGAACTATAATCAATGTTTTGAATTTATTACGAAAAATATCATTACTCATCTATTTAATAACCTAATTTACTATAGATCAGGAAATATATATTAATGAAAACCTAAACATAAATATCTGCATATTGATTTCAAAGTTTCGTAATAGGGGGGCAAAAAGCTTTTTTTTGTGCCAAAAATAGTGTGCTGTTGTCGACGTCGCAGAGAAGTTGGCGCAGCGTAAAAGAGGCAAATATTCGGATATTCCTTCTCTTTTCTTTTTCTAACAGAGACAAATTTCGACCGGTCCGTTATTTTTTGGATCTCCCCGTAATATTCAGCTAGAGACAGTAAAGACCTCAGCCCCTTTACTAAATAGCATATTAATGGCCCACGTCCCCCCGTTAATATATGCGGGTTCTAGAACAAAGATTTTAATGGTTCAGATATAAAAAAAATGTCACGATCATGTCCATAAAGAGTATACTAATTGCCACCACCCCACACCCCCAACTGAAAACACTGATCACGTGACCTTTCTCCGCACTATGAGCATTTAATATTCAACAGGTGTTGTTGTGTACGTGAGAAAGGTCGCACACCCATAATATCTTAAGATTGATATCTTGGGGAAGATGTGCCCTGTGATTGCAAAACTAATTAAAAAATCAAAAGAAACCCAGTTAAATAAATCTCAAAAGTTTATGATTCTCAGCTGTGGAAATATTTTTAAACATACTTTTTAATTTTCGCCCCAGAACGATCAACTCGAAAATTGTGTAAGATTCTTTACTTTCCACAAATGGTTTATAAACATGTCATAAAAAGGACTTAAGCAAGAGTTACCCAAATATGCGCACCTGTCCATTACCTGACCGCAATAAAAGGGATACATGCACTAGCCTGAAGGCGCACCGTTACTGATATGATCATGGAACTCACGCCAACGCACAGGCTGAGTGCTAATAGGGGTTAAAGTCACGACCGCGCAACAACTCGCAAGTAGCCGACATACCTTAATCAAGGAAATATGTTCCAAACAAAATGAAATTAATTTTCTGACAGGCGCATGTTTCCGATGTCAATTTGAGATTACAGAATGACAAGTGTTGACCATAATTCGTAGTTTAGAGATCATGTCCACCGTGATTCATGAACATAGTTTTTATGTTTAGAAGATATTGAAAGTGCTGGTCAATTATCTCATCCTTAAATTGTTCAATAAATTGGTCAGTTTCCTCATGAAATTTCGTTTTATTAATTTTGTTTTCTGGTGTCAACTTTAATATGATATACCTAAAATTATTTTCTTGTTTTAGAGCTACTCGCTATCGTACATCTTATTTTTTGCAAAATCGCTCGGAGTTACATGGGGAATTTTCCAGGTTATATTCGACATTTTCAGTTTAAAAGTTTGATCATTTCTGCTTTGTTCAAACACATTGCAAAGATTTTTAGTTAGCATCAACACTAGTTTATGCTTACAATTTAATAAAACTTTTTTATAGTCCTCAGAAAATCCCAACAAATTTTGTCTCCAGTGATCTATCCAGAATTTAATAGATTTTGACCTTGAAGATTATCCAGAGATATTAATTTTTTAGGTTGTCGTTGTAGCGACCAATCGTGTTCTATCAATCTCACATCCATTTATTTCGTACTTAATTTTTTTTATCTTGGACGTTGTTGCACTATGGTCAGTACAAACAAGTGACCCTACGACACCAAGCAAAGCTTGTTACGCGCGGAGCCCATCACCGTTTTGGGCGAGTAAACATAATCGCGGACAAAGAAAAAGACAATGTAACAATAGACAATTAAAAATAAAGGTCAATATACGAATAGACAAAATACATCAAGTAAAACTAATTAGTTACTAGGGAGGATAGTATTATTGATTTAAAGATAGGAAGTGAGTCAGTAATAGATATTAGATGATATAGTCTATTATAATCATTGCAAAGTACTCTAAAAGGTTCATGCATTGCGTAATTAGAGATACAGTGATTTATTACTAAAGGAATGTAGTTTCTAGTGAATCTATTTGGCACATTAAAATGCAGGCGACCCAGTAACTCGGGACTCTCTACATCACCATGAATAAGATTTCTAATAAACGTAATACCAAGCATAGTTCTACGGTTAGCTAACGATGGTAAGTTAATTAGAAGTAGTCTACTAGAGTAGAATGGTAGTATTAGGCTTGTATCCCAGTTAAGTCTCCGTAAGGCAAATATTAAGAAGTTTTTTTGCACAGACTCAATCCGGTCTATATGCACCCCATATTGGGGACTCCAAACAGGAGCGCAGTACTCAAGAATTGGTCGGACTAATGAAATAAACAAGGTCTTTGTGACATAGGGATTATCGAATTCCTTCGACCACCTTTTGATAAATGCAAGCACGCCCCTGGCTTTATTTACCATAGTAGTAATGTGATCGGAAAATTTAAGTCTAGGATTTATGTAGACTCCACGGTCGTCAGCATGCGTTATCCTATCTAACGCACAACCACTCAAAGTATACGTTGAGTAGTGGGGGCTGACACGAAAAAAGGTCATTAGTTTACACTTAGAACCATTTAAATTCAATTCATTATCCATGCACCATGTTTGAAATGCATTTAGATCCGATTGTAAGGCTAAACTTTGTGCGGGGTCATTATATTGCAGGCACAACTTAACGTCATCTGCGTACATAAGAACCCGTGACTTCGTTAAGACTAATGGAAGGTCATTTATAAATAATGTAAACAGGAGCGGACCAAGATGACTTCCTTGTGGTACACCGCACGTAACTCGGATTAGGGATGACAAAGAGTTTTTAAAAATAACCCTTTGAGTCCTGTCATTCAAATAACTTAAGATCCACCTAAGAAGATCACCTGGAAACCCTAAAAGGTCCAATTTCCGGACTAAAATCGGGTGATTTACAGAATCAAACGCCTTACTAAAATCAGTGTAGACCACATCAGTCTGACGATTCTTTCTAAAACCACTTATAACAAATGAAGTAAACTCCAAAAGGTTGGTTGTCGTTGACCTACGTTTTATAAATCCGTGTTGACAAGAGGAAATAAGGGACCTACAACTGTGTTGCAAATGAGGCGTAATAATGTTCTCAAAGAGCTTCGGTATAGCTGATAGCTTTGAAATACCTCTGTAATTACATGCGTTCAACAAATAAAGTTTGATTTAGGGATGACATATGGGTAAGACTGATCTGGAGGACTTGATGTTGAATAGGTGGTTTGACTGTGCAAAAAGATCAGCTATGGCTTGATCAGTACTAGCAGCCGAATTTTCAAATTTAAGTGATGATGGGTAACTAGAAGATTTACGCTTTGTGTTAACAAAATTATAAAACTGTTTTGGATCCAGTGTAAACTGGGACTTGCAACGAGCTAAATAGTTTTTATAACACTGGGCGTTAAGTACGGTGAAATCAGACCGAGCACTTAAGTATCGGGAAAAGGCAGCTTGTGAACCTGAAGCTCTAAACTTTGTGTAAAGTCTAGACTTTACATTTTTAAGTCGTGCCCGCTCTTTGTTAAACCACGGAGGTTGGTTTGAAATTTTAGGATAATACGTAGGAACGCATGTGTCAAAAACTTCGATTAATATGTTATAAAAAATATTAACCGCTTCATTTATATTAGTACTTAAGTACAGATTAGACCAATCCGAGCAAGCTATAAGGCTATTAATGAGTGCAAAGCTCGCTCTACGAAAGCAGGGAATGCGTTTAGCTATTTTTTCAGATACTTCATACACTTTTGTACCCGTGTCAATAGTCAGCTCTAGCGTTGGGTGATAAGGGTCTTCTGGTAAAGTAATTGCAGAGGTTCTAGCTATGCAGACACAATCTGGACTGGAAACAAAGCATAGATCCAGTATTCGTCCTAAGAAATTTAAAACATGATTTACTTGAGACAATGAAATATCAAGCAAACCGTCAAGAAAATCATGCTGCGTTGAAGGTAACAATATATTTGAGGTTTCGACGGTGGACCATGTCGCCCTAGGTATATTAAAGTCACCTAAAACTATTAACTGATCCCTATCTGATAGTTTACTTGAAATAAACTGGATACCGGACAGATGATTCGCATATGTCGGGAATTCCGATGATGGCGGAATATATGAACATGTTATGTATATAGAAATACCCGGAAGGGATAGTTTTATACACAGAAATTCAGTGTCATTTATTTCGTCGGACGTTATTACTTCAGACGTTAATTCTGAGTCAACTGCAATTAAAACTCCACCTCCACGTCGGGACGGACGATCAAGCCTGTAAGTTGTGTACTTACTTGGAAAAACTTCGGAACTTAGAACTTCCGGTTTTCACCAGGTTTCAGTAAAAACAATAACATGGGAAGACAAGGAAAAACTATCAGTATACAATTTGGTCAACTTACTTTGTAAACCTCTTGTATTCTGATAAGAAAGCTGAAGAAAAGAATCTAGTTTTTTGAGATAGATGAGGATGCTGATGTGGATGGCTCTTTAAAGGGATTTCCAACTTCCTTTGAACGAATTTTCTTTTTTTTAGCTTCGTACTCTTAAAAGATGATACTTCCCTAGCATATGGAAAATTAAATCGTTCAACCTTTAGATCATCAATCTGAACTTTGTTACGGATATAGGCCGTAATGTCCTGGGATGAAAGGTCAGGATTTAGCCGAGAAAAAAAATTTGTTTTCGCTGCGGTACACAGGTGACTGTTTTAGGTACCACGCATGTTACAGGTTTTGGTACTACGGCATTTGCGGCTGCACTACCAGTTTCAGTCGGTACTCCGGACGTTAAGTCAACATGCGGCGTTGGAATTATTATTGTATTGTTTATAGCAGATTTTTCGGGCGTCTCATGCGGCAAAATCTCGCGTCCTTTGCATTCGGAAACCGAATCTTTTTTAGCTTTCGATCTCAG